CACAGTAGCTGAGTGCTGACTGAATTTTGAAGCGTTTGAATCCTGACTAGTACTCATCAGTCACCCAGCAGACTGCTGGGAAGCCAAGTGTCACTATCTCCTCCTGAGATTTGGTGCACGGCTGACTTGTGGACATAAAATCACCTGCCAGTGACTCAAGAGGAAACATCTTACAGCATAAGGCGATACAAGGATCATAAACTGTGAAGCTTGTGAACGAGTTAAGCTGCTAAAACGAGTCTTGGACATGGTTGGACAAATAAGATGAACTGGTCCATTTCATGATCTAAAATGAATGGATGCCTGTGATACTAAACGGTTTCCCAGTCTGACAACACTCCTGTCTAGATTTACTGTCAGAATGCTGCCAAGCTATTCATAACACAAGGTTACAGATATACTATCTATATGTCAGGCTCCCAAAGAGGACCTAATCTTTATCAAAGGAATAAAAACGAGAATTTTCTGATGGATTGTGGAACTGGCTCTCATCCTTTGAGGGCTGTTGTGTTTTAACAAAGTAAATGTGTACAAACATTTCATTCGTTCTGCTTTATATGTGACATCGTTTAGACTATAAAAGTGCACAAGTCCATAGAGTACATCATGTTTCTGTGTGAATCTGGCCAGCTAAGACTAACGCTGGTTAAAACAAGCCACCCAACACGAGCGTGATGCTGAGGACTCGCTGGAGGAGCAGTGTGTAGGAAGGCCGTTGCAACACAGTTGAGTCACCGCTGTGACCTCAGGTCTGGAACGTGACTGAAAGAGGGCCGCTGGGAGCGAGCACAAACGTGTGAATGCAGCACATTAGAGGAGCGGCACGAGCCACGTCCCATCAACCCCAGAGTGTCCGTGTGGTATTCATGACTGCTCAGCGCTCCTACATCTGACTCACAAATATTCCGACTGTAAATAAAGTCTCACTATCCCACACGCTGCGCTATGCAACACTCACCACATCTGCTTTCATTCCTTTATACCGAGCACCAACAAGGAGGGACTTGAGCTGCCTGATGTCCTTCACTACTTATTAGCATATATTAATACCATAGCAGATATGCTAATGAGGTCATTCATCAATTAGCTATCAGCCATGAGTGTTTTGGAGTCTTTTGCTCTTGCAGCAGTGTGGATGGCCCTCATGTGACTTCTCCTGCCTTTATCACACATCTTGAAAAAAATAATAAAACTGTCATTATTATTATGCAAATTAGCTCCTCAAAAATTTAATTAGGTCACCCAGTCTAAGCTTATATGTTGTGTGTTATTGAGTTTAGAGAAAAATGCCCAAGATGCCACAATGACAGCATAGTAGCTCCGCCTCCTTAATTATTCTCTATCTCTGCCGTGTGTCCCTTGTGAAGGACTCTTGTCAGAAGCCAGCGTGCTATGAGAAGACGGTTACTCTCACCAAGGAGCCGTACGACTCTCTGGGAATGACGGTGGCAGGAGGAATGTCCAGCCGAGGGTGGGACCTTCCCATCTATGTCACCAACGTGGACTCTGATGGCGTGGTGGGACGGGAGGGCTCTATTCGCAAAGGTATCATGAAGCTCATTCCTTGTTTCTCATAAATGACCTCCTATCACTCATGTTTACCGTGATAAATGCTCACCAGTGTTGTTGTTGTGCAGCTCACGAGAACATTGTTGCAGGCAGCCTGTTATGAATGTGCTTTTCACTGGTGATGAACAACGACACAATGATTGATGAACACTTCAGCTCATGTTTAATTATCAAGGTTATTCATCCTGCAAACGCAAACGTGGATACCGGTGGGGTTCATTGCTCCTGCTAATTAGCTCACACACAGCTCAACAAAACACAAACGGCAGAGTTCAAGACATGTTGCAATCTTGAGGAGAGTTTGTCAAGTGGGTGATTATTTTGTGATATGAAATCAGTCGGGTCTGAAACAGCAAAGCGTGGTGTGGCACACCAATAAGCGAGCATGAATGCAGAGGTGCTGAGATCTTGTGATGCAGCTGGATGCAGGGGAGTTGGAGACTTTCACACGAAATGCTGATTCCAGCCATCCGTCTTGAGACACAACCATATTAAGCTCTTCATTACACTCAATACCCCCCGACCCGCGCGTCTGTCTCCAGCCTGAAGCTCGGTTTATGAGAGGAGGGAAGGAAATGATGCTGTAGCACATTACAGTAGCAGAAAGGCCTCATAAAGTCAGTCTCCGGCTGTTGTTTGCTGCACGGTTCAAGGTGGACATCACTGCACTCATATGAGACGCAGCAGCTGCAGCTGTCTCTGCTTGTGTGCTTGTGAAAGAGGCATGCATATTGTAATGGAGCGTTCATTTAAATTAGCATATCCCTGCAGGCTGAACGTGTCCTTTGAGCAAGCTGGACTGCATCGTCTGTCTTTGTATCACTTTCATCATTAGGAGGCTTTTTGAAGCACAGGTGGCCCTTGGTTTCTATTTCTCTGTGATCTAACCAAGAGCTTGATAATTATTAAATCTGGAGAGACAATGAGTCTGTGTCCTGTGATGTGATTCAAAACACCAGCTCAGAGAAGCAGAGGATGACGTGTGTTGTCCAATTCTTCCCCAACAGGTGACATTTTGCTGAATGTGAACGGGCTGGATTTGACGGGGGTGACCCGAGGCGAGGCTGTGGCGAACTTGAAGAACACCTCCTCCCCTGTCGTGCTAAAAGTCTTGGAGATGCGTCCTCCAGGGGACAGCCTGCATGAGTGTTTGCTGCCGCCTTGTCTCACGTCGTCCCCCACAGACAGCACCAAGAGCCCACTGCCGAACGACGATTACTCTCCACAGTGGGTTTCATGGCTGCAGCTTCCAAGGTGAGCTCCGCCGGTGTCTTCACGCTCGCTTTTATGTAAATGTTGGGAGTTTTGTCCGAGCCCAGCACAGCTCACCAGCGTCCCTCTGACCTCTGCCGGTGGGTGTCCACGGACGTTTTGACAGGACCAGCTGGGAAGCGGAAACTCATCATACTTTTAAATTATTTTCTTCTTTCACTATTAATAAATAAATAATAAATTAATTGAATGTTAAAACTTCTAATAATTCGGAATGTTTTGATCTGCTGATACCAAAGAGCAGCTGCTGCTCCTGCTCATGTCGAATACTGTCATTCTTAAGCGGTGCAATCAAGACTAAATCTAGTTTTCATGCAACTCTGAGCAATTTAGCAGGAAGAGCTGTTGCCTGCTCTAAATGGACATATACTTAGTCATTTAAATATGCAGTTGAGAGATTAGAGGGTTTAATCTCCCTTTGGCTCATGCAGACATCTCTACTACTGCAAAGACATCGTCCTGCGGCGGAGCACCTCAGGCAGCCTGGGCTTCAGTATTGTAGGAGGTCAGGAGGAGGTCAACTGCAATCAATCTTTTTTTATCCGCTCAATCGTGGAGGGGACTCCAGCCTACAACGATGGCAGGATAAGGTATCTGACCTTGTCTTTACTGTTGCACGAATAAGTGCGGCCTCTATAAAAGTTGATGAAAAAAAAAAACGTGTGAAATGCAGATTTTTTTGTTTTTAATGATTACCGTTTTCTGTGTGTAGATGTGGGGACATCCTGCTTGAGGTGAATGGGAAGAGTACATGGGGAATGACGCACACGGCTTTGGTTCGCCTCCTGAAGGAGCTTCGGGGGAGGATCACGCTGACCATCGTCTCCTGGCCAGGCAGCCTGCTGTAACGGCGCTCCGAGCCACCCAGCACCGTTTCAGTGGCACTGGCCGGGGGTTGTTGGGGCTGTAGACTGGCCGACCACCCTAAGCTCGCAGCGGGGGGAGAAACTCAGGACTTAGCTGCTTTATGGGTGCCGCCTGTCAGATGGGCAGTTGAGACTGCCGGGAGTTTGCAGGGGTTCAGATAAGAGACTGAATTATTCCCAGAGGGTTAATGTGTCCCTATGGGAATGCTACACAAGAGGGATCCAGGCTGGACCCACTTCTGACTGTCATCTGTTTGGAGGACGTTGTCGGTGTCCGGAACAACATTCAGCGAGTGGGGTGGGAGGATCGAGAGGAGACGCAACTTGTTGCCAATTTCAGTAGTTATGTATTAGGCTATGCGATGAGCTGGACTAACATTTGTAAATGTTGGGTGTTAAAAAAATATTGATCCAAGCACTTGTAATGTTTTTTTTGTTTGTTTGTTTATTGTATGGCCTTTAAATGTAGGCTTTATTCTATTTGCACTGACAGTGGTTGTCAGCTTCATCTGTTGAGCTGAAGACATGTTGCCAAGTAGTAGTCTGTAAGTTTTTTTAGTTTTTTTATTCTGTTGTCTCTCGAGCTATGGCTAAAATATTAAAACCACTGGCAAGGAAAAAATACAAAAAATAAAGACTCAGTGTGTTCATAAGTAACGTTTATTTAGGAGACATTGTGGAGGCCTTACTCATTTTTAAGAAAACCCGTACAGATGTGTGTGTGTGTGTGTGTGTGTGTATCAGCGATGGCCGGAGGTCCATCTGCTGCGGTTCTGTCAGTCACGCTTCAGCCTGAGTATTCTATCTGATGGTACATTTGGTTAAACAATCAATAAAGTTGTTTGAAAAAGAGTCGAGAACAAAGAACTTTGAATAACGAACATTTCAGTGGGATTCATGAAAGCAATGAAACATCCACACTTTGTACAAAACACAAACACGGTTACTTTTAGATCACTTCAAACTGGGACTGGAAATCATTCAGTTCCTCGAGTCAGCGAGGGATTTATTCTATTCCTGCCAGCAGAGATCATCTGGTTGTCACCTCTCCACATCTTTGCCTTTGTTTCTTTCTTTGGGTGTTTGGTTTTCACCCCCGTTGTTCTGTCTCCTCCTGCTGCTGCTGCATCTTCAGAGGGCATACATGAAAACTGTTTATTCATAGATGATTCTTTCTGAATGTGCGTCTTTGTTGGACCTTTCTTCTGATGTGATTTCTCTTTTCTTTTCTTCGTCTTTCTTCCTCTTTGGCCCTTATAACTGAGCTCTGCAGCATCTCTGTGCTTCTTTCTACTGAGAAAACAAGTCACACCACAGAAACGTTTGGTGTTATTCCCATCACTAGTAGCTTTTAAAAACATCAGAAAATAAAAGGGGAAAGAGCTACAGGCCATGCTCTCCTTTCTGATACATGTCAGTTAGGACTTTAGAGAAACACGTGTCTCCTCCGTATCTTCATCATTACGTTAAATGAGCGTCTCAAATCTGCAAACTTCACAGTGGCCGTGTTCGAGATGAGCCAGTTCTGCACTGATTAGATCACCAGTGATCGGCGCGCAGTGCTTTCCGGTTAGATTTGTGTCCGACTTGCTCTGACGTCATGCATACGTAGGCAACGATAACCTCGTGAGATCAAGGCGGCTGCAGACTTTGGAGCAAGGCGTTGCAGTTGCTCTCCACCGGCTGCAACACCTAGGGCATGACGGGAAACGCCTGGCTCTCACCGGATCTAAGATCTGATTGGTTCTTATTCTGACCCAAACACCCGGTGGTAGAACGTGAAATGTTAGTTGTTCACATGTATTCTGTAAATCATGTTACGCTGACGATGACAACTATATAGGCCATAAAGAGAAATGTGACTGTTTTGTTTTGTCACGCTTCCTATAAACACACTGAACCTATAGCTGATAACCTTTACTTATTATTACAGTCATGTCTTCATATGCACATGCCTACAATATACGATATCCACAAGCATGTGAGGATGTGTTTCAGTTGCTAACAGGCACCAAATTAAAATAAAAAAATAAACAAGTGTGAACACTAACGCGATATCTTCATCCATCGTCACCCACGAGCTACATGTAGGGAAATCTGTCCGACTTAAACGTCGTCTTTCAGCCACTCCCCCTGCTGCTTCCGTCTGCTCTCGTCTGTTTTCCAGGCGAGGCGCAGCTCATCTCGAACACGGTCAATCACGACAGTCATGTCTGCCCATCCTCCCTCAAAAATCAACCAATGAATGCCCAGTGCTACAAAACGTCATAGACATGTAAAACTACATTCTGCAATTCTCAGACAAAAACCCAAATACATTCATCTGTTCTTCATTCAAGGACCAACAGCTGTGTGGAAGCACCAGAATGATCCATGAATGTTTCCATTTTTTTCTTGTAAATTTAGAAAAACATGTTTGTACTCAGAGGTAAGACAAGATTGGAGACATATAAAATGTACTGGATTGAACTCAAATATCTTCTAACTCTATAGTGCAGGGTGTCCAATCCTGGTCCTGGAGGGCCGGTACTCAACCCTGCTTCAATACACCTGATTTCAATCAGCAGGTGATTAGCAGGCTTCTGCAGAGCTTGATGAGCTGCTACACACACCGGTGATTTAACCACTGAATTAAGTGTGTTGGAGTAGAGAAACCAAACCGGCAGGATACCGGCCCTCCAGGACCAGGATTGGTCACCCCTGCTATAGAGGTACAGGACATTTTAATTAATGACCCCTTAGAATCCTGCAAAACATGATAAAATGGTTCTCATCATAAACTCGAATAACTTTTTCCGTATCACGGTGTTTCCTTTGTGCTTGGAACATGAAATGAGGATGACAGTGGTCAACCCAGTCCAATATACAGAACTTGCCTTAAAACATATTCAGAAAGAAAGAAAGAGAGAAAAAGAACTTTTGTTAGAGCGCCTCTCAAGATCTAAATCACGAGGTGCTTCACAAAAAACTAAATAAATAAAAATAAAGATTTTAAAAAACGATTCAAAATCCTTCAAAACATTGTCCAAAAAAGCAAAAGCTCAATCTTGCAAGATCAAAATGAAAACTCTGAAGCACGTGTTAAATAATGTTGAACTAAACTGAGTTTGTTTGTTTGTATTAAATAATTGTCAGATTTTCAATAGACTTCCTGTTTTTAATCTTGTCCAATAAATTAAATAGAAACAGATGTTGGTGCAGGAACGCTCAAGACCAAAGACGAGCTCTAGGGAGAGAGTAATGCAGGGGTGGACCTTTAAAGCGCCCGAGCGCCAATGGCGCTAAATTTTCTCGTTGGGCGGTAAATACTTGACGACTTACCGCCCGGGTGACGCCCAAGCCTTATTTGTCATTCACCTACATCATGGCCGCGCCCTGTAGGAAGCCACCGTTTTCGCTTCGCGCGCGTGAACCTGCGCGCCTCTAGCCACGTACTGCACGTACTGCACTTGTACGATTCGTGCACGTACTGCACGATTCTAGTTATAGTCACGTGAACTATAAGTTCACTATTAAAGACGAAGTGGAACCACGCTAGAAACACACAAGCACGCCGGAAGATGGCGCCAACACAGGGATGGGATTTCTTGATGAAATCTCCGGCAAAACGCTTTAAAACTGGTGAGGAGAAGCGAGACAGTTCGAAACGGTATGAAGCAGAGAAGCGTGTACGTAGGTGGAATGATTCTTGGAGGTTTAAAGAAGACGGGAGGCGCAGAGAATGGCTGTGTTCGAGTTGAGCAGCGGCTCGCCTGGAAACCAGACGAGAGCAGACGGACGCAGCAGGGGGAGTGGCTTAAAGCCGGCGTTTAAGTCGGACAGATTTCCCTGCATATGTAGCTCGTGGGTGACGATGGCTGAAGATATCGCGTTAGCGTTCACACTTGTTCAATTTTCAATTTTAATTCTGGTGCCTGTTAGCAACTGAAACACATCCTCACGTGCTTGTGGATATCATATACTGTATATGGAGACATGACTGTAATAATAAGTAAAGGTTAGCAGCTGTAGCTTCAGTGTGCTCATAGGAAACGTGACAAAAGAACACAAATCACATTCCTCTTTATGGCCTATATAGTTGTTATCATCAACATAACGTGATTTACAGAATACATGTGACCAACTAACATTTCATGTTCTACCACCGGATGTTTGGATCAAAATATGAACCAATCAGATCTTAGATCAGGTGAGAGCCAGACGTTTCCCGTCATCATCTAGGTTTTGCAGCCGGTGGAGAGCAACTGCAGCGTCTTGCTTCAAAATCTGCGGCCGCCTTGATCTCACGAGGTTATCGTTGCCTACGTATGCATGACGTCAGAGCAAGTCGGCGTCAATTTGGACACAAATCTAACCGGCATGCACTGCTCGCCGAGCACCGCTGGTCTAATCTGCGCAGAACTGGCTCATCTCGAACACAGCCGATGGCTCGAATACAGCAAAGCGGAGTTGGTGATGTACTGCGTTGTATGCCGTAAGTATGCGACGACAAAATCGTGTTTTGTTGAGGGAACAAACAAATTCAAACTTGAATACGTTATTATGTTTGTGAATGTGTGCAAAATAAAGGTTTATTAAATTTAAAACGGTTCAGTTGTTATTTTGACTTGTTTTGGCAGCTGACCAGCGGGGCCGGTAGATTCTTGGCGGGGCCGGTAAATATTCAGAGTTACCGGCCCCGCTGGCCGGTTGGTTTTGAAGTTAATGTCCACCCCTGTAATGGTAACATAAGGTACTAAAGCAGCTCAGAAAGATAACAACAAAGGATCTTCCTTCGCCCCTCTGGTTTAACGTTAGAAGAGTGTGTCATTTAGCATCACACCATGCCTCCTAAATTAAAAATCTCAAAGAGACAAAGGTGGTTTCTCCAGTTATAAAGCTGCTATCAGTGAAGGAGAGAGCAATAATTCTCCCTAACACAAGTAAAAACTAAAATAACTCTGCTAGACTGTATTTAAATGCAAACAGTCACACTGCTATTGTTGACTGCTGCAAATTAGTTTCAAACTGCTATGTTATTGCTACGCCCTCACTGCTCAGAATTGGCAGCGCCCTGATTTGCCTCTGGTGTAGTGTATTACAGAAAACTTCTTTTCAATTAGCAACTCCTAATTGTTTGAATGCTGCAAAGCATTCAGACTGTAGTGATCCTGTTTCTCTTTATAGTCTGTTTATTATTCTGCTTCCGTACGTTTTTTGGCCTTTAACTACTTCCACAATTCTTCAACTATTTACACAATTTTGGTATCAAAACGTTCAGATCGTTCAGCTTATGCCGGCAATGACTTTTGGTATTAAAATATTTTATACTTTTTGAGATATTCAGCTTTTTCTGCGATTTTTTTGTCCCATTGAAATGAATGGGATTGCTCAATTTTCAGCTAAATTCTATCACTTTTTTGAACTCTTACTCTTATAGTTTAACTTTAACCTAGAGACTTCATTAAAGTTTCAACAAACTCACACGACTTTCAGCTATCACTGGTTAAAAACATTTTTGATATCTATTACAGTTTTTCTAAAATCGCAGGTAGAAGTTGAGGTACGGCTTGAGGTTTTCAGAAAAAAATCACAAAAATTATATTGGGCAGAGCTAGGAGCAATGACGCTCCTTTGCTCCATTTCTGGCATTGTCCTGAGAAAACCGTAAGTCCGGTTGAAATGAGGCGCATGCTGGCTTACAGCTAACGGATATACCTTCGTTTTGAGCTATAAATCATGACTGTACTCCAAACATTGTGGTCGTACGGTTCGTTTGTTTGAGAAAATTCAAAATTTAAAAAAAATTCTCTCACCACTCTAAGCTGAAAATTCCACCCTCTTCACTTTTAACCTTCACATTTCCTGGAAACAACTCTTTCCAACACCCAGACCGTTTGGAGTACCGACACAAATTATATGTCAAAAAGTAGGAATTTCTGTCAGCTTTTCGGGATGGTTTTACTTTATCCTTAAGTGTTACATTTCTTTCTCTACACGCCTCAGAAGGAGGAGAGACCCTGATTCTGTCTCATTGAAACCCATGTTAAAGGAGCAGAGATTTTCTCCTCCGCTCAGCTTCAGACAGCTAAAATGTTCTCGTCATAGCTTCTAGACAATTCCTGGTAGGCACATAAAAATTCACACAGATGACCATCAAAGCCTTCTGCCACTCATGCATTTTGAATTTTTCCAATAGGTGCAGCGGTTTTTTAATGGCGATGAGACGTGTCAGAGATCTGAAATGACATCTGAGCAGCTGAGCTCTGTTAAATGCATGATTTATGAAATCTTGAAACAAAAATTTCCACCGA